TGGACACATCAAGCCTCCTTTTCAGGGCGTGCTTGATTGTCTTGTTTACGGCTTCGACCTGGCCATTGGCTTGTAGGTGGTGAGGTGTAGAGAAGTGCTTCTTTATGCCAAGATCTTCAAACAGTTCTCTAACCTTCTTGTTATCGAACTGCCTGCCATTGTCTGAGACGATCGAGTAGGGAATTCCGAACCGACAGATGATATTCTTCCATAGGAACTTGGAGGTGTTTGCTTCTGTGATTTTTGCCAGTGGTTCAGCTTCGACCCATTTCGTGAAGTAATCAATGGCCACTATTGCAAAACTTGCGCCTCCTCTACCCTTTGGTAGAGGGCCTATGAGGTCTACACCCCACTTTGAGAAAGGCCAGGGGCTGGAGACTGTAGTCAAATCCTGTGATGGTCGTCTTTGAACGGGAGAGAATCGTTGGCACTTATCACATTTTCGCACAAATTCGAGGGCATCCCGTTTCAGGGTAGGCCAGTAGTATCCTTGTCTCAGTATTTTTTGTGCCAGAGATAGGCCTCCAGAGTGGTTGCCGCACACTCCCTCGTGGACTTCCCTTAGTATGTATGTAGCCTCCTCCCCTCCGACACATCGTAAAAGTGGGGAGGAGAAACTTCTCTTGTAGAGAATGTCGTCGATGAAGAGGAAATGGGCTGACCTCTTTCTTAGCTTGTAAGCCTCATTTTTGTCGGTGGGTAGCACCTGGTCTTTCAGGTATGCTATAATTGGTTGCATCCAGGCGGGAATTCCACCGACCCACATGACATTAGGGGCCTCGGTAGAAGGCAGTAGGAGGTGCTCGATAGGCACTACATTGAGTAGCTCCGAGTCCTTGCTACTGGCCAGCTTCGAGAGTGCGTCCGCATGAGCATTTTCGATGCGGGGAATCTGGATTAACTCGAACTTTTCGAAGGATGGGATGAGGCCCATCACCATTTTCAGATAGGAGGTCATTGTTCTGTCTTTGGCTGAGAAATTAACATTAACTTGGTTAAAAACCAGCTGGGAGTCACTATTGACGAGTAGCTTCTTTACTTGCATTTCCTTGGCAAGTCTGAGGCCTGCAAGGAGTGCTTCATACTCTGCAACATTGTTGGTAGCTTTGAACCCGAACCTCACAGCCGAGGTGAGTTTGTGACCCTCGGGGCTGATGAGGACAACCCCGG